ATCCAGAAATGGGAGTTTGTTGTTAACCTCCTTCTCGAGAGTGAATTGAATGTCCAGAATGGTTGAGTTGATGGTCTTGTGGAGCGCTTCAAGATGGTCCTTTTAGCGACAACAAATGTTTCGTCTGCATAGCGTACCCATAACTTAGGGTTAATCGATGGAAGGACCCTTGATTCTAGCCTCTGCATGGTTATTTCAGCAAGGAATCCGGATATGGGTGACCCCATTGGAGCTCCTTTTAATTGTTGATAGTACTGATGATCAAATGAAAAATAGTTTTCTAGGCAAAGGTCCACAAGGTCAAGTAAAGCAGGTACAGGAACCTTCGTTGCATAGCTCTTCAGGGCTTCCGCTGTGCATTGCCTTGCTACACCAAGTGGTATGGAGGTGAACAGAGAAACGACGTCGAAGGAGACCATTATCTCATCATCGGAGACCGTGATTCCCCTAATTTCTGTCGAAACTCCGTAGAGTTCTGAAAAGAAGTTTCACAATCCTTCGTAAGTGGATGAAGTTGTCAAAATAGCCACTTAGAGATCTTGTAGTTTGGTGCACCGATTAATGATACTATCGGTCGCAGAGGGACTTCCGGTTTGTGAACTTTGGGTAATCCATAGATCTTCGCGATGTTTGCCTCGGATTGTTTCAAGCATTTTGCGGTATCTCCTGATAGTAGTTTCGTCCCTGTAGGGCGTTTCAGTACTTTGTCAATTGATGACATTTGCTTCTTGATAGGGTCTGTTGGAAGAGGCTTATAGGTTGAGCTATCTTTTAATAGTGAGAGCATTTTCTGCTTGTAGTCTGGTTTGTTCAAGATAGACGTTGAGTCTCCCTTGTCGGCGGGAAGTATGCTTATTTTTCATCAGTTTTTAGATTCTTAAGTGCTTTCTTTTCTTCAGAAAACTTATTCCGATCCTTTTTTGACGGCGCCGAAGATGTGCTTTACAAATAAACCTTATTATTATTAAGGCATGGACAGCACTGTTTTGGATGTTAAACCGATCATAATCGCTGAGGTCTCCTGTTAATAGGATAGACTCCAAGCTGGCTAGGAAGTCCAAGTAATTAGAATCAGAAGGATTGTGTTTCATCCCTTTGGAAAGTAAATTCTCTGCTGTTGCAATGAGGGCTCTGGAAGATAGGTTCACAACCTTCGCTACAGACTGTTAGTTTGTAACAGCTGGTTGAGAAATAGTCTTCCATTTTTTGTCTAGAAGCATCTTTCTTCTTACTGATTCAAATAAGTGCAGGGGAAGATTATTGCGACAGACCTGCATATGTTGTTCCTTTGCAGAATGGAACCTTTGCAGTCGGTAATGGGCATCCGTTATAAATGCCCCAAGCGTACTCTTTCCATAACGAGATGCGATCTGATACCCTAGGGTAGATCTGACTGCAGGCCACACACGCACAAACTTTGGCAAAATGTTCTGTTTTCGGCACTTGTAGAGAAATTATAAGTGTTCACGCGTACAACTTTCGCGAATAGCACACTTCTCCCATTGTCTAGCCTCGAGCAAAACTTCGCGATCGTAATTGTTTCGTATAAACTGAAAGGCAGGCATCCCAAGAAATGTAATTTCAAGGAAAGGCGTCCTTTAGGAAAATTTACTGAATAAACTTACTCATTTTCCCAAAGGACGTCTTTCCTTGAAATTACATTGCTTGGGATGCCTGCCTTTTAGTTTATACGAAACTTTTAGAACTAGCCAGTTAGGATTGCGAGTGAGCTGGCTCGGGCAAGCACCCGTGGGAAAATTAATGCTCCGACCAGTTGGGTTGCAAAAAGTAAATAGGCAAATCCTAAGATAGTTCTCCTAGCCACATCCAACTGAAGCTTCCAAGTCAACCAAGTCAAGTGAACTCAATCGCTACAATCTCCCCCCATCCCCTAGAGGCCGGCTATTCTACGCTATCACCCTTAAACAGATTTTAACATTTATTTTGGAACATTAAGTGACACGATGTATGTAGGTCTTGAACTTAGATCCTGGTCTACTGCCAGATAACCGAACTGTCTTGTAACTTGACGGCCGGAGAGTGTGATCTCTGTAGTTATTTACTCAACATCGATATAAAATTTGCCGCAACCTTTGAGTCGACGAACCGAGAATGCAAAGATTCCTAGAAATTTCGAATTTTCATCTTGGGAAGTTTGACTTGGACATTTCCGAGAAGCAATTTCTACCGCTTAAATAGTTACCTCACGCAGAGCATACGGTCAGAAGATAGACAAATAATCGAAAAGATTGACTTCAGAATTAGCCGTCTTGAATTTCGACTTGTGCGCAGGCTCAATATTGTCTAGCAGGACCCTGCCACGCAATCCTGTTTAAGAACGGCCCTCAGCGTAACCAGGAAAAATCTAAAGCAGATGTCACAGGCTTGCATCACGCTTGCTTGTTTTAGAGGAAGAAGCTATATCTTCTGAGGTCGGTTGTTGACGCTAACGTTTCTTTCGGTTGCATACCTCCCGTCTTTGAGTATTCCGTGCTAAGGAGTGTTTGCAGAGGTCGTACGAGTAAACTCATGTCTTATCACTCGTTATGATTCGGAGAACATAAGACAGTTTCCCTCATATACAGTTGGGGACCTAGCTCATGAGATGGTAATCAACATACTGAAATGCATCCATTAGGACCAGTCCTAGTAGATATTTTCATGTCGAATCTTGAACGAAAATTAACCAAACGCCTAGGAAAAACTGCTTTTTATAGAAGATACGTGGATGATATTTTTGCTGTTGTCGAAAACCCTAAGGAGGGGGAACTGCTACATAAAGCTATGAACGAGGCGCAAGCAAAGATCAAATTTACGATCGAGCATGAGAAGCAAGACACACTGGCTTTCTTA